CAACAATTTTGCATGTTCTTCACATGTACCCCAAAACCTAAAATGCAATAAAATAAATAAATGGGGAAAAAAAAAAAAGAAAGAAAGAAATTGTAATGCTCTTCGTGGCAATGTTACTGGTCAGAATTCCATCAATATCAACAGCTAGTGATGGTGCAGCAGTAATGAAAAAATTTGGAAAGTTTTCAGCAAATGTCGTTCTTCTCCTTGCTGTAACAAAAGTGTCTTACTCAAAAACTTGAAGATACAGCATCAGAAACAGCTGGCAGAGGAGATGAACACAGTGTAGTCTGGCCGTGACAAAGATGAAAGCAATTACTCTGATTCAGATGATGTGGCTGGAGCCAGTCAGTATAATCTACAAGGTGGTGTCTTTCCGGCAATTTTTAGAAAAAGAAAAATTGTAAAACTGTTTATGTTTCCTCCAATAAGAATTCTTTTTTGCAAAGAATGAGAAAAAAAACAGTAACACACACCTGTAATCTCAGCACATTGGGAGGCCAGGATGGGAGAATAACTTGAGCTCAGGAGTTTGAGACCAGCCTGGGCAGCACAGCAAGCCCATCTCTACTAAAAATAAAAAAAATAGCTGGGCATAGTGGCACGTGCCTGTAGACCCAGCTACTCAAGAGGCTGAGGCAGAAGGATCACTTGAGCCCAGGTGTTCAAGATTGCAGTGACCTATGATCATGCCACTGCACTCCAGCCTGGATAACAGAGTAAGACTCTGTCTTAAAAAAAGAAGAAAAGGGCCAGGTGCGGTGGCTCATGCCTGTAATCCCAGCACTTTGGAAGGGTGAGGCGGGCAGATTACCTGAGGTCAGGAGTTAGAGACCAGCCTAGCCAACATGGTGAAACCTAGTCTCCACTAAAAATGGAAAAATTAGCCAGGCATGGTGGCGGGCACCTGTAATCCCAGCTACTCAGGAGGCTGAAGCAGGACAATCGCTTGAACCCGAGAGGCAGAGATTGCAATGAGCCGAGATCACACCATTGCATGCCAGCCTGGGTGACAAGAGTGAGACTCTTTCAAAAAGAAAAAAAAATAAGGAAGGAAGGAAGGGAAGGAGAGAGGGAAGGAGGGAGGGAGGAGAGAGAAAATGGAATATTATATAATTGTGAGAGAGACAATAATTTGCTTAAAACTTGTTTGATTAGCAGTTGAAGCATTAAGTAATCATGATGCAAATCTTCTAATCGAAACGGAATTGTGCTTTGAGTAGTATGCTTTTAAAAGAAATTAAAATCGAATTGCTTAATGCAGAAAAAAGATCTCATATCTCTCATTAAATATTTAAGCAGTTAGCAGTTCATATGAGGTTGACAGCTCTTTTTGCTTCAGCAAACAAAAATGAAAATGGCTCAATTAGCAAAATCATTAAGGAAAGACTTGTGGAGGAAAATACGCTTTTTCAGAAGCAATGCAAAAAAGAGTAAATATTTTTGGGAACTACCCTGTCATGAAGTCAGAAACTTCTAAACTCTGAATTAGCAAAGAGAAAATAGACTTCAAGGAAAAAATCAAAACTAGTGAAAGAAGACAACATTTTCATCATTAAGAAAAGTGAATGAGTTTATAATAACCATCATGTACCCTAATGCTCAATTTGAAGATGCTTATAGACACATTCTTAGTAATAATAAACTAATATTAACATAGAATGAAAGAAACAGTCTACATCTAGAATATTTGTTGAGAAACAAAGACCAAGCCATTCAGGCAATTCATGGTTTATGTGTTTTTAAATTTCATTTTAAGAATAACTTTTAGCCGGCATGGTGGCTCACACCTGTAATCCCAGCACGCTGGGAGGCCAAGGCTAGTGGATTACCTGAGGTCAGGAGTTCAAGACCAGCCTGACCAACATGGTGAAACCCT